AAAGATTTCTTAAAGATCTCCCAATTTCTCAAAAATTCTAAGTCTGGATATCACCCCAATCGTTAAGCATGCTTCATCCTCCAAGACAGATTCTTTCATGATACAATTTTGGGAAGCAGAACAACACTCAACACAGTAAATAACAGAAAAAGAAAAGTTGTTCATTGGGTCAGATTTAATCATCACATGACAAAGAATATGCCTTTTCAGTGTTAATAGCATATTTTTTAAAATGATCCACAAAACCAGTTAAACCTTCTGTGTGTAGGTTGATCTCTCTGAACCAAATTAGATGGGTTATGACTAGAAATCCTACCCAGACAACAAAAGAAACTTAAAAATGCTATATGATGAATACGTATAGTATTTTATTTAGGACTGAATCATTGAATTGAAATGTTCAGGTATGTCTCTTCCATTGTAACTTTAATACCTATAAAATATATGGCTATGCAAAATCTCTTGTATTACTTCTAAGTTTTGATATGGAATGATGGATATTAATATTCCAATTAAAAGTGCATGTCATAAAATAGTGCAGAATATATTGGATTTCTCATTTATTTTAAACATGCAGCTCCATTCTTAGATTAATATATACATACCTGTTTAGAAATAAATATGTTTGAAAAACATATTTAAGATACAATTTAAATGCTATAAGATACAATATATTTAGAGATATATGAGAGGGAATGCATTTTTTAAAAAAGACATTTAAATGTGTCTGTATACTTACATAACATTTTTTAAATTGCTAAATAAGATGGATCATATATAAAACTGTTCAGTTAGAACATGCCTACCTTGTTTCGGTTGGATTATTCTACATTAATTTAGCAGCACAGCATTGGAAGCATTAGGAGATAGGGAGACCATGCCTGGGCCCTCCTATATTAGTCATCTGTTTTGCTATTACCCAATGCTGGTTCTATTCAAATACTAAGAGCTCTGGATATTGTTCCAAGAGTAAGGAATGGGACTACATTTTCCAAACCTTTTCAGTAGAACAGATCTGATCTCCTTGTTTTTCAGGCTGTATATGATCGGGTTTAACATTGGAGTTAAAATGCTATACTGAATAGAGATCACTTTGTCCAGATCCATGAGTGATTCTGAATTGGGCTTCATATACCGAACAAAAGCTGAAATGTAAAATAAGCCCACCACAATGAGATGGGAGCTGCATGTAGAAAAAGCTTTCTGCCTGCCTTTTGCTGCTTTAATTTTCAGGATGGTTAAAATGATGTAAATATAAGAGACAAGGGTGATAAGAAATGAGCTAACACCAAATACCAATGCAGATATTGAAAGAGCAATGTAATTAGTGAAGGTACTTGCACAAGACAAAGCCAAGAGTGAAGGAAGCTCACAAGCATAGTGTCTGATGATATTGTTGCTACAAAAACAGAGATTTAGCAAAGGCAGTGCATTCACCATACCATGAAAGAATCCCAGGAGCCAGGCGCCACCCACCATTTTACTGCATATCTCTTTTGTCAAGTACCTGCTGTAATGCAGGGGGTCACATATAGCCACATACCGGTCATAACCCATTGCTGAGAGGATGAACACTTCTGTACAAGCTATTTGGAAAGTGAAGAAAATCTGTGCAATGCATCCTTCCCAGGAAATGGTTTTTTGCTTTGTTACAAAGTTTGCCAGCAACTTGGGGACAGTGACTGAGGAATAGCAGATGTCAACAAAAGCTAAACGGCTAAGAAGGAAGAACATGGGGGTCTGAAAGTGAAGCTCAGACTTGATTACCAATATAATTGCCATATTTCCCAGGATGGTGACTAAAAAAATGATCATAAACAAAAAAAGAAGAAAATCCTCTATTTGTGGATCATTGGAGAGTCCCAACAGGATAAATTCTGTTATTACACTTTGATTTTCTAGCCCAGATGATTTAAGAACCACAGGATCTGTCAGAGAAGAAAGCAAAAATGATAAAACTTCAATTAAAGTTGAAATCTACATGGGAATGTATTATGTTGAGTTTCCTACTTTTCATTTCTTTCATCAAAGGGCAAATTTAAGTGTTGCCTTTTCATTTTCATGATGCGTTTAGATGTTTTCATGACATTGTAATTCAAATATTCTAAAAGGTACTTGTTCTATGTCATTTTGCATATCCATCTGTGCATTTATGGAGAGAGGCATCCTCCAATTTACTGCTTAGAAATGAACGTTTATTGCATATGAATAGAAAAATAATGTTTGAATTAAACTCCTCTTTATTAGATGCAAATACGTTAGGTCAAGAAAAAACTGGTCTTAAGGCAAAGATTGATAGAGGTTACTGAAAATTCCTATTTGTCCAGGGTGCAGACATTTCAGGACATTCTAACCTGAAATGTTAACTTGATGCACTAGCAGTTCTTTTTAATTTGGCAGAACTGGCTTTCTTCTCTTCTCTTCTCTTCTCTTCTCTTCTCTTCTCTTCTCTTCTCTTCTCTTCTCTT